ATTAAAAACTAATAGCAGCAGATTCGAGATAAGATTTTGGGATCAATAGCATATCGATTAATACACGTCACTCTTCGTGTTACAAAACCTGTCGCTTAAATAAAATCATAGAGTCCTCTTCGTCAAACAATGTCCAATCGGTAGCATGACGTTCATAGCAATGTACACCACGTTGCTTGCACTTTCAGTTAAAAAATATTATAGGTGCGTATATTTAAAATTGAACAACTTAATCCGCTATCGAGTTCTAATAGTGCAGAATCACATATTAAATTTTGGAATTTCGGAATAGTGTTACAAGACGATGGCATTCGTATTATAAGCAACTTTTAAATCGGTTACACGACCAATCATCGTGGTTATATCAATAGCACGGTGCTATTTTACTATACTATCCGCGTTGGCGCTACCACTTACGACCATCGCCATGTATTGGAACTCTCATCGGCCATCTTCACTCATTTCACTCACTTCAAACAGTTCAATTGAGCCCGACAGTGTTTATTTAGGGGCTACGGTTAGGTTATGTTAGTGATTGCTTACGCCACCGACTGTATCACGTCACGCCGCTGGCCAGTACCTATTGGGCCGTATTTCTAAGGTTACCAGTTGCCAGTTCCACGAAATCGTCATAATTTCTTAAATCAAATTCACGAATCTATGAACCGAGCAAACTCACTTGGCCATTTCACGGAATCGGCGAAAAATCGCCCATTTCATAAATATGAAAATTTCACCTGCTTCGGGGCGCAACATAATACTCGTGTATAGTATATCAGACACAGTACAGTTGTGAAACAGTCTCCATTTTTCTTCTAATCTCTAGTTTTCGGGGAAAACTCGAAAAAAACAATCCAATATTCAATTTGCATTATAACAACAGCGTACGTCGTGAACGGGATAACAGTTTATAATGTTTATTTATGCAGTTTGTTTTTTTTAACGGGAATTTATCTACCTACACACTCGGAAAACATTTCACCTAACAATAATATTATAATAATATTATTGTTGTGCACAAAAGTAAATAAAAATAAAAAACAATGAGATACGGATCCGAAAATGTATTTATATTTTGTTTATTTAAGTACAGTCATGGGTATTATATATTTATCGTTAAAACGGGAAACATAAAACGGGGGATTTTTTTTTTTTTTTTTTATAACTAACCTATACGAAAACCGAAAATACGAGTAAAACAAATTTGTTTTGCTCGACCGGTGCGATTGACGATCAGATCGTAAAACGTATAGGTAGAGGCAGTATGTTATATTGTTCGGAAGAAATACCACGGGATACATAAAAAAAAAAAAAAAAAAACCTATTGAAATACCGGAATAAAAATATACTCGTATGTATACGACAAGAGTGACTCGGGCCAATCGCGGGGGACAATCAATACTGTGATATCGTGCGCGGCGCAAGTACAGTATACTTTTTTTTCAAGAATCGAAATTCCGGGGGGAATTTTTGGAAAAAACGGAGTAAAATAAAGCATTGTTATTACGACATTTTGAAAAACGTCGGGAAGTTAATATCATTATTGTTATTATTATTATTTTTTTTTTTTAGAAATGTTGATCCAATTATAATTGATTATACTCTAATACTAATCCTTTTTTTATGTTCATCTTCTCGAGCTTTTACTGTCTACGGAGGATTCATAAACCGCTGCCACTACAATATTTCCCTCTGTATATATCCACGGTATTCTCCGAGTTACATATTTCACTCTGTCTTCAAAACGTTGTCCGAGGTTTCTTTAGAGTTTAGACAGCGTTGGACGACAACGACCCTCGGTCTAGGTATTTTGCTATTTATTTACAAAACGACCTCCAGACATCGTCTGTCCATTCTAATCGTCCGCTATCATAAAGTGAGCATTGTAATGTTATGCTCACACAACATAATAATGTGTAAAACTATTTATATTATTATAACAGCGTGACTAAAAGATTCAAATGCGGCCGATCTACTTAAAATATTCTATTAAAAAAAAAAAAAAAAAAGCGAATGATTTAATTTAACGTAACGGAGCGTTCGTTGTTCGAGAGGGATACATATGTATCATCTTTATAATCGAAAAAAATTTAAAACGAGTCGAATAACGTAGTAGAAATGTACGAAATTCGCGACAACCCATTGAGGACACTGTTGCGCAGCCGCCACGGCCCGTACTCGGTCGCGCGTTTATATGTAACAGAGAGTGCAGTATAAATATGCGGGTGCGGGTGTGGCGTCCTCTCAATCATTTTCTAACATTATCTTTTTACGAAATCGAGAATACTTTATTTGGACCCGTTGTATTTTTATCATTCGGTGCATAGAATAAATTAAGCGAGCTGCGCTAGTAGTTACCTATACACACTATATAAATTCGCATAATATAATGCGTATATTCCGATAAAACCGTAAATGCGAGTGTATAAAATAATGGAAAATTAACCGGACATAGCATCTGATCCAAAACATCCGGTTAGCCGGATTTCACGTTGCACGTGAAAATAATTAAATCTTGAAGATACTTGATATTATAAATATGCAGTTTTAACAGACAAGCCGATTATTTGACTGTCCTTGTCCAATAATTCCTAGTAGAGGAACCTCTTAATTTGAGCATTACCCATGGGTTTAAAGGAGTTTAATATAACATTGAATTAGTCTTTTTTCGATTTTTAAGTGTAGTACTTTTTCTCAAAAGAAATCGGATTGGAGAGGCACTTTAAGGAGGTAATTTTTTTTGATTGTCCCAAGAGTTTTCCTAATAAATTGTAAAAACCTAGGAAAAATCTGAAAAAACGGGAAAATATGTACAATATTAAACAAATATTATTTAAAAAAAATATATAATACCTGTGTAACTACATAGGCAATTATTTTACCATAACATAACATATTATATGATATTGTTGACGAAGCAATACCATCAACTGAACTCAGCTCAGAATCGTTTTTTCGTTAGCAATAATTTATCTTTGCTATTACAGATATGTATTAAATTTCCTCTCTATTACTTTCCCAAATTCTCACCCACAGGTTGTAGGCTACAACAGTGGCCCACTCACTCAATTTTCCAGCCTTTTTTTCCGTTTTTTTTTTTTTTCGATACCTACTTATAAACTTATATGAATCCAATTTTTTTGATTTAATTTTATTTAACTTTTAACTTGACATCTTATTCATTATTATAAATGCGAAAATGTCGATGTCTGTGACTAATTCGGACCGAAATGGTCGGTTCCCCGGTAAGCTAAATTGGTGTATGTACTTACTAGACTGTACATATATATATATAAACTACACACGAGTGAAGTCGCGGGTAATTCAGCCAGTATTATACACATTATATATAAACACAATTGTACATCATTTATTATTAATTTTGTACAGCAGCCGTTTAAAATCATGATGCAACGGATCTATTGCCTGTTTAGATTTTTTCCGAAGAGAGGCGATCCGATTATTTTCGTATAAATTAGGAATAGCGAGTAGTGCTTACCTGTGTTTATATGCACGCTCGTTTCTCGGATCATTCCTGCAGTTTGAATATGTGTTTATCGTTCACTAGACTTTAATTCGGTTATCATATTTATTTTTCTAAACGCACTTTTGTAAAAAAAAAATCTGTATTCGTTTAAACCAAAGGGGCTTACATAGTTCCGAGGGTCTATTCTTGTTTGCAGGGGGTTTATCGAAAACGAAAATTGGAGACGCATGAGATGTCAACGAGCGTTATTAAGTAAAAAAACACGTGCATCGTCAATTTTACCATAAAAACGCGCGAAAAAAAAAATGTTGGGAACCTCCGGTTTAAACGTATACTTTTGTTATACGAACATACTAACATAATAACATTATTATAACATGTCGTTTTCCTCGGTGCATCATGATAACGATGTGTGACGACCCGGATATCGGGTACCTATAGTATAGAAAAAACTGGTATCGAAATAATGAATAGTTCATGAATATGTACCGTGTGGCTTAACATTTTTAATGCAGGTACACACATTAGTTCCGTTAAAAAAATTTAAAATCAAAAACGTTTCAACGCCGGACGTTCGAGCTGCTGTTTAACGGCGTTTTCTCATCAGTTTCTTCAAGACGACCCTATATAATAAAACCAACATCAATCGTGCTGACCATATATTCTCGTATAATAATATTATAATAAAATAAATGGTGTCGTAATAATAATTAGCTAGAGCTCGGATGTTGTCACGGTAAAAACCTAAAATCAAAAATTGTATTAAACATAACACGACATGGTTGTAAATGTTATTAGATTTTTGTACTGCTAAAACAGTACTCGTGGTAATATTGTACTAAATATTGAAATGAAATTCTGTACAATATGCATATGTCTACTTAAACATTTCATAGTTATATATAATATAATACAGATACGAAAAAATGATCTGCTTACACGCATTGAATTTGTATAAAAAGTTACGCGAGATAAATTCAAAAATAGTTTTCTAGGCATTAGGCGCATTGTGTAAAATAATTAAAATATCGAAACTATAGCATCGATTTAAAAATTCGCTAACATATTATTATTGCGTTTGTATTGCAATTATAGGTGTTTACAAATTTATTCTACTGTTTACTACTTACTTCCGCGTAACGAATTTAACATTTTCTAAACCGGGGGATCGGGGGGATTAAGGTTGCGAGGGGTGGGGGAGGGGGTTGGTCCCGGGATCGGACTGTCAGAGTGGGAACAGTAATATAATGCGCTATTGTTCCGCATAAGGAATGAGATACCACTGCAGTTGACGGGTGTATAAAGTACATCGAGTTTGATTTCGGGAGGTTCGGACGGCTCCTGCGCCCGCTCATTGACGTAGAACCGACTATTTCATACTGTTCCCTATCCGTATAACTTCCCGCCTTACACCTGCGACGGTGCCTATTGGCCGTCAGCGATATTTTTTCGGCCGTCAGTTTCTTTTTAAAAACAGACTGGCCAAAATATGATTTACGCGACGCGATCGTCATTACCGTTTGCCGGTTTTCGCGTGAAACCAGTCGAACGGCAGGAACCGGATTCGCTTCTTGTGGCAGAAAAAACAGTACGACACGTGCGCCGGTCGGCCGTTTCGCAGCAGGCACAGGCAGGGCGGATTGGCGTGCTCCGTTTTCCGACGACAACTGGTGCAGTACGACGGCCGGCTCATCATGGCTTCGTCGGCACCGCAAGGACTGCTGCTTGTCGCGGAATAGTCGAAGTCCATATTTCGGGACGGACACTTCGACGCGGGTATACGATAGGCGCGCGTAGAACGTAGAACGCAGAAATTATTGTTATTATTAGTATTATTATTATTATTATTATTATTGTTGTTATTATTATTATTACTGTGTATTATCAATAGACATGGTTTCCGATGCGTCGTTATACCGACGACGACGCCGACGCACTGCAGTCAAAAGTTAACGGCATTTACTTGCGTATTTTTTTCTCAATACATTTATGACAAAAACAACACCCGCGATCAACAGAACTCCGTCACCATAGTTTTCTGTATGAAAAAAAACATAAGGGTGGCCATACTGATTTCTCCCGCCAATTTGTCCAGTTTTTCTCTCGAACGGTGGTTAGTAGTCGAATTTCGGCGAGCCGTCCTGTAAGATCTCTCGCCCGCTAGTTTTATTTTATTGTGTTGAATTTTAGTAATTTCATTATTAATATAAAACTCGAACGTGTAATCATTTAATCGATAACTGTTTTTTTTTTTTTTTTTTTCAATCAGAGTTCGGACTATCCTGGCAAACGGCTCTCGTAGAGCGTTGTTAGCACACGTTAATATAATAAGTACGTACCACGTTGACATGATCTCAATTATTCGAAAATGACTTGTTTCACGTGCAAATGATGTTCCCTAATTAAAATGTTGTCCATTAAGAACTCGGTATAAATCGTCATCTATTAATATTTAAAACTTCTAACAAATTTAACAAAACGACCAAAGTGAGATGAAATACGTTTGCAATAGGTTGAAAAATCTAGAAATATTTACCTACTGTACAACTTTTTAATTTAACTTTTTAAACTATACGAAATGGAGATAACAGAATAATATTTCTAAATATCTATACTATGTTAAAACTAGCTCACCGACAATGTTTCATTATTTGCCAGATAATAGTGTAAATAATAATAATAATAATAATAATAGTTTTCTTGTCTGTGACAACCAAATTTATCATCTATGTCACCAAGGTAAATTATATATCAATAAATTAAATTAAATTAATGTTCCGAAAATTTCAAAAATTCCTGCTAGTTATTTCGTCTGTCGTTGTTCGGGGCGATTTTTTTTTTTTTTGTTATTTTATCCATATCACTAGTGTAGCTCATGAATAAACAAACAAAAATGAGCAATTAGATATTCGTACTGAAATTGCGTAAAAACTCCCATTTTGCTCCCTTTAGGGCTGAATTTTCAAAAATCCTTTCTCAGCGAATATCTACGTCACGATAGCTATCCGTATACGAAATTGCAACCCGTTCCGTCCAGTAGTTTGGGCAAGGCGATGATGAATCGGCAAGTCAGTCGGGACATATTTTATATATACAGGCTGTCCCGCGAAGATATGTAGACGAACACAAATTGTTTACGAAAAAAGTGAATAGACGATTTGATCAACTAATAATACGTGCACGGGTGGAATACAAATTAATTAATTTTCTTTTTGTATGAGAAAATCATGAAAATATATAATAAAATAAAATGTATTTTGACAATTTGAACAACAAAGTACCCAGATGTATGCGTTTAAAATCGCGTAGAACTACGTACTTTTCACTAATACACTTTAAAAGTGGAAAAAATAACGAAAAACTTTTCGTATCAAATGTTGCATTATTATGATATAAATAAGGACGAAAAGAGAACTTTTTTCGTCATAATTCTGTACAATTATTCTATTATGGGTACTTTTTTCAAATTCGGGGGAGGGAGGCTGGAGAAACGTTTCTACAGCTCTCCATTAGTATTTCGAATATTTAACGGACGATACGTGAGAAGTCCAAACAAATTCTGAATTATGTCAAACAAATACAATCAGATATACTAAGTGGCGGGGATATTAGAAAATTCAAAAAGGTTAAACTATACGTACGCATATCATGTACTTTCTAGATATGGTGGTTTTTTTTTTTCAGTCGCTGTGTAGTATATATTATTATTATTATTATTATTATAATAAAAAGTTCTTCTCGTGAAGCGACATTTTTATATTTAAGTGTTAATTTAATTTTTATATTAAAAAAATGTAATGCCTGTACTATATTATAGCATGACGTGCGTACAGTGTTTGTTTTGAATGTTTTAAACAAACACTCGACGATTATTCCTGTACATACTATATTCAAACTACAACCGGTGACTTGAGAAGTTTTTTGTATCTTGTAAGAAAACAATAACGGGGTAGAAGAGGGGTTTGTTTTGTACATAACGTCTACAAAATAATAATAAACGATTGTGGATGATGGGAATTTGTATTATATCAGGCAGTTCGGTACATACCAATATATTATAATAGTAAGCGCAAAAGAAAATGCAATATTGTCTTTTCGTGTTACGACGAGAAAAGTAATAACGTTTATTAATACAAAAACGAAAAAAGACTAGTATTATTGGCATTTTTTTTTTTTTTTTTTTTCAGACGATCAATAGTTTATTCTGTTTTTGAACACTCGAATACTTGTAAAACCAACGCAATCTGCTTGGCTTCGCTAAGAATTTAAAACAATAACACGTTTCTACGTCAAGTCCAATAAACGAGTAGCTCAAAGGGATTGAAATGTTTGAAGCCCATGAAAAAAAATGTCACAAAAATTCACAATGACATCGTGCATTTTTACTGACCCGAAAATGAGTAGTCAGAGAACAAATCTTATATATATACGATGCATGTAGGTACATAATACTCGTCATGAGTAATAATAATAATAATAATACCGATCACGCAATGGCAAGGTCATTGTTGTGGTCGGGTAATCGGGAATGTAGGATGTCCAGGGTAATTTAATTTCTATATACTGTATGCAGCGATAAATCACTGCAAATGAAAACGATTCAGAGCGAACTAGTAAAAATCGTGTTTTTTACATTTTGCCAAGTTGACAGCAAAAATCGACACAAATCAAATAACAAAAAAACAAAAAAATTCTTAGGGGCGAATAACTGTTGATAATTTCGCTAAATGTTTCAAATAAAGTAACGCCCGGCAGAAATTCTGCATCTTTTAAGGAACCGCGTGGAAAATAATGGATCATTTGCCTAACCAGAAAAATAAGTATTCAAAAAAAAAAAAAAAACGTAAAAATATTTTTTTTTTAGAAAACACATTGAGAACTACGAAAAATTGTTTAAATAAATTATTAGTGATTATCAACGCAGAAAATTGTCTTAATACTATACTAGAATTTAAATAATTTCGAATAATGGGCCAAAGTTTAAGAAATATGAGTCGCGTCGCACTTAAGATTCGTCACGTCCGTCCTTACAATTACCGGGATGGACAAGATGGTTGATCGGTATACTTGAGCGTTTAACAACACGTCAAGAAAAAAATATTGTCAACCTAATATAAAGAAAAAAATTAGCTGTCCTAGGATAATGGAGACGAGTGATTAAGGAGGACAATGGAGGCGTTGATAGATTTCCGTAGCTAGAAAAACCTGCGGAGGTGGACGTTGCCTTTTATAGACCTTCATTTACCTACTTTACATAGTTGAAATATTTGTAAAATGTTTGGACTAAAAGTGATCAACGTAAAATAAATATAAGTAAAAGTTAAAAATATCACGTTAATATAAAACAATTTAAAATGAACGACATTTACATTAGTTATGGGTTATAACGAGACCATTAGTTGATTGCTTGTTATCAAATTTTGCTTGAGGGAAACCACCACGATACCATGACGTTGGGTGTATTGGCTCTCTCTCTCCCACTCTCTCTCCCACTCTCTCTCTCTCTCTCTCTCTCTCTTGTACCTTACGACGACGTGATATTTTATTCAACCGTGACAGTTGAAAACACGGCTGTCTGTGGATTACATTATTTATATTCCGATACTGATGGCATATTTATGTTTATATTATATTTTACAAACGATCAAAGATGAACGGGCCAATAAAGGGTTTTGATACATCATAATACGAAATTAACTGGACCGTGGTTAATGACGGTCACGGTCTATGGCATTCGTACACGGCGCGTACCGAGTGAGGTTTTCATCGGTCAAAATTGAAATTAAAAACATCAAAACACATTTGCGTTGAAATTGCAAATTACTGTTATTTCCACGGCCGAGACAAATACACACGTTATAAAACGCGGCACGCACATTTGCAATATTCAGAGGGACACGCTTTGATGTTCAGGGGACGCGCACGTATCGCACTTTTTTATTTAGGCCCCGGATATCGCGGCATTTGAATAATCGAATTAATCGCGTTTTTGGTGGATATTTATTATTCCGTTATTTCGCGATTCGAATGTTGTGCGCCGACGTTTGTCGGGTTAACACCGTAACACCGTGATAACGATAATTACGAGCCGCGGCGCCGGTATCGTTTTAATCACATTATTTCGGGAATTCGCAACGGCGACGGCGGCGGCGGCCACGCACTTTACGATTTCGGTATTGCAGCTGCACGTGGCGAGTAATACACCGCAAAGTGCTTTTTGACGTGCAATTGCGTTTAATTTTAAACCACCTACCGGGAAACTTGTAATATTATTAATGTATCGCGCGTATTATTATTACCGCGGTATAATCGCCGAGAACCCGGTTGAAAATACGCCGCCGTCGTATAAAGTATTATTGTCATTATTGTTGTTGAGCAAGTGCGCCTGAAAACGCGACAACGTCTAGGCGTCTGCGTGTCACCGGAGTAACACGGATTTATGGATTTTCTAAAAAAAAAAAACATTAGCACGGCGGAAGTATTGTCGATGCGCGGGTATTGTAGGTGTCGCTATTCGATAACCTAAACGCGCGTGCTTAACGGCGCATTGGAAGCCGCGTACTCTGCGGCGGGGAGCCGAACCGTGGCGTTTTGAGAAGGCGGGCATCGTGAAAAGTCGTACGGGCCACCGTAATCGTTTACAAAACAAACTCCCGGTGCAACATTCTTAATTGACATTCCGTGCCTATCGATTCGATAAAAAATAAAAATATGGCTCGGATGCACCCGTCGTCTAGGGTCCGCCACCGC